AGGTAACATCATGGAGACAAAATAGGGGTTTGTAGTTTGAGCATATAATGTCTGCAGTATCTCCATCCTTGTTTCCTTACTTTTTATGATCCCTATTTGCAGGTTTTTAAATTCCCAATTTTTATTTATCTTGTTTACTTTCATATTTCATATGCTTGATAGTATATGAAATAACAAACAGTAAAATTCTATTCATAGTTAGTATGTATATACATTTATAGGCATAAGAAGTTTTATTGATCAATAATGAAATAGTTCTGACTGTAACTGTAAATTGTAGGTAGACCATAATGTATTTTGCAAGTGCTTTTGAGAATTTTTATGAGTTAGGGTGTCATATATTTCTTGTTTGTTGCTTTGAACTCGTATGTAATATGTATTACATGATTTAAAGTGTTTTAGTTATACTGTTGTCCCATGTTAGGTACATATAACTAATGTCTCACATTATTCTAAAATATAAAACATGGGAGTCTGGTTTTCATGTTGGATTTTCATTGTACCATGTTTAAACAAGTTTATTGATGGTCAGTTTGAACCCAGAAGTGTATATCAGTGTTTTCTTGGCATAGTGAAAACTGGTCACTTCTTTCATTGCTGCTAAAAAAAAATTTTTATAGACTATCTGAAGTATGTTGAAAAAGTAATATCCAAGTGTATTGAACACTTGTTGATGAAAATAAGTTTTATGAAACAATAAATGATTAAACTTTTATTCATTGTTTAAAATATGTTTGAAAATACCATTCATAATTTTAGAAAATTTATGAATTATTTTACTGTAATGTTCCTAGGTTTGTAGGTGTGGTTATAGTGCTTATAACTGTAATTTTAAGAAGACAAAGAATGTTTTGAACAGACATAGTGTATATTTTTAGGCTGTTTTTTATATTTTTATTTCTAATGTGTATAAACTTTTAGTAATTTGTTTTTGAGAAATTTCTCTTAACACATGTAATGTTATGGAAAATGCAGAAAATAGTATTAGTCCCATTTACCATTTGAATGAACTCGGAACTTGTGAGTGAAACATAATTAAAATCATAATTGGTGAACATGTATATTTTGTGTAATGTCAGTAATATTAGCTTATAGTTTTATTATTGTAGAAGTAATTATGAGATGCTTTGGAATTCTATTTAACTACATATGCTTTGTATAATTTCAGTGATACTAATTTGATATTTTGTTGTAGAAGTAATTGAGAAATGCTTTGGAACTGTACCTTTACAAACACTTTCCACATTCTTGCTTGAAGATGATGTTTCCTGTCATAGAAAACAGGTATTTTTTTTTCTGTTAAACATAGTAATTTTGAGGTGGTCTTGCAGTTGTTAAAGTGTAAACATTTTTGGGGAAAAATCTGTTGTTGAACATGTTGTGTTTGTGCACGTATTTAGTATATATATTTATACTTGTAAACATTTTGTTTGAAGATACATCACATAGTAAAGCTTATGAACTACTGAGTTTATGATTTCTGATTGTCTGGATATATATATATATATATATTAGGTCGTCAAGGAATTAATGTCACTTCTTTTAGATGAAAAAAAACTCAAACAACTTTGTCAGATTTTGAAAAATAATGATATTATTTTTGCCAACTGTCAAAATAAATGGCTTTTATTTCTGAATAGTATAAATATATACTATGTTGTTGTTGGGCTTAGGATTCTTCTACAGTAGGTGTCTGTGACTTG